CTGATGTTCAGCCTTGGCCTTCCTGCAGGTCAAGCACCAATCCACAAACCAGATGATCTCCCACTTCATGCAGGGCTACTAGTTACTCAGTCTCCGGTCTCTATACATTGTTGTGGCCCCAGATGTATAGTAAACTTAGACTTGTGTGCCTCTTCCAATATCCTCTATCTCATCCTCCAGATATCGGAACCCACACTCGGCTACAGTGTGCCAAAAGACCCCGACCATGTCGAACAAACAAGGGAATCTGATCCCAAATCCTCTCCAACTTCTAATTTTCTCTCTTCAAACCCTCCACCTAAGCCTCCTAGATCATATCCAACAATGGAGAGATCATTGTCATCCTCAAACAAATGTTCCCGATCGGAGAACCAACCGCCTTTTGACTCAAAGCATCGGCCACCATGTTGGCCTTCCCTGGATGGTATAAGATCTCACAATTATAATCTTTTAGCACATCCAATCACCTCCTCTATCATGTTGAGGTACTGCTGATCGATCAAATACTTCAAACTTTTGTGGTCAGCAAAGATGGGTTCACCGCACTGCATACAAGTAATGCCTCTAGATTTTGTGGGCAAACACCACCGCCCCCAATTCAAGGTCATGAGTGGGGTAGTTCGCCCCATGAGGCTTCAGCTGCCTCAAGGTGTATGCGATCACATGTCCCCTCTGCATTAGTACTGCCCCTAACCCTGAGATCGATGCGTCACAATACACCACCAAATCATCAAGCCCCTCAGGTAGTACTTGAATCAGGGTCTCACATAACCTCTGCCTCAAGGTCTCGAATGCCGACTGCTAGTCTAGGCCCCACCAAAAAGTCGCATTCTTTTTGGTCAAACAGGTCAATGGTACAACGACCTTGGAAAAATCCTAGATCAATCTCTAATAATACCCCGCTAGAACGAAGAAGCTACAAATCTCTGATGTGTTATTCGATACTTCCCACTGCACCACCACCTCAACCTTGGCTGGATCAACCGAAAAACCCTCCTCGTTGATGATGTGCCCTAAAAACTATACCTCTCGCAACCAGAAATCACACTTTAAGAACTTGGCATATAGCCCTTATATTCTCAATGTCTCCAACACCTCCCTCAGATGTTGCTCGTGATGCTCCTTGGTCTTAGAATAGACCAAGATATCATCAATAAACACGATCACTGACAGATCCAACATCGGCCTACACACTCTGTTCATGAGATCCATGAATGTTGTTGGGGCATTGGTGAGCCTGAATGGCATCACCACAAACTTATAGTGCCCGTACCGAGTCTTGAAAGTTGTCCTCAGTATATCCTCATCTGATGGTACCCCGACCAAAGATCAATCTTGGAAAACACAAATGCACCCAATAGCTGATTGAACAAATAATTGATCCTCGAAAGCGGATAACGGTTTTCGACCGTTATCTTTTTTAGCTCCCGATAATCAATACACATCTTGTGTGACCCGTCCTTCTTCTTCACGAACAGGATCGATGCTCCCAAGGGGAACTACTCGGACGAATAAACCCTCGGTTTAGCAGCTCCTGAAACTGCATAGACAGCTCCTGCATCTCGGGCTGAGCTAGACGGTAAGGTGCCTTAGCTATCGGAGCGGCAATCGACACCAAATTAATGTATATTCCTTCAAGCACCAAACATGCGGAAATCTTCAACATTGGTGTATTGAATTCTCTATTCATTAATATCTAATTAAGTTTGAACATTTGAAAGTCTCCTCTTCTGATCAAACTACGGCAGGTGTTAGTGTATAGCCTGCCCATGGCCGGTTCTTGTAAAAGTGTTATTATATTTGTAATTATATGATTTAGAAATCGAGAAGAAGATCCATAATTACCAAATCTTTAGGCAGGCAAGAAACAGAAACACATCTATTGTTCTTATTCATGATTCCGATCGATATTAGCCCACATGACTAGTAATTGTAACACGATGCTTCTAGTTAACAAAGTAATATACTTTTAACGATTATTCAAAAATATTTAACGAGACCAACTTAACCAAAATATAATTAGTCATATCATACCTTCAAGACACAAGTTTTCCTATTGAAATAAAATCTATAAAAGGAATGAACGCATAATATGTAGTGCCTAATTGACTATTTCTAGCTAGTGGAATCAAAATGCTAGGTCGCATGCATTCTACTATTTAAATTTAATTTGTTCAAATTAACAACTACAATGTTGACTAAAGAATGTTGTTATTTGGATAGTCACGTCAATTCTTATTTAAATAAACTAAAAGAATATATAATAAGTAAATATGGATCGCGTAAAGTTATGGATAATTTAACTAACTTTTTATTCAAAGATGCCACTTTTGATCAAATCAATTTTTATTTGAAAGTAGATGTCAAACGAACAAACATACTCATGTTATTTATGCTTTGAAAAATCATTATACTTAATTAAGTAATTTATTCATATTGTTATGTATAATTTGTTGTAACGAGAACTGCTTCCGAAACCGGCTGTTCTTAAATTATTGGAACCGGAACCGCCTACATCGGTTCCTAGAAAATTGGAACCGCTCCCGGAACCGCCGGGACCGGTTCCGGTTCCAAGTACCCGACTTCTTAAATATAAAACTTTTTATTTATAAATTATAGAGTGTATGGCATGGATATTAACATTTACAAACATCAAATGTATAAGATATGATAATAAAACCATTATAATAACTTGATCTTTTACATAACAACCTATTAAAAATTAAAAACACTTCCCATAATTAAAAAAAATCATAGAAAACATTTCAATTCAAGTGAAATTTAACAAGTAAAGATGATGAAAATGAAAAATTACAAACAATAAACATAAAACAACAACAGGAAAAAACAACCCAGCAAAAACAACATAGCCTTGAATTAGATCCATTGATCTTGTCAGCTCATCGAGAACAGTATATTGCATGCATATTCCATCACAATCTTTAAGTTAGACCATTTGATTAGCAAAAACCTGAAAGTTTAAACATGATAAAATATAATCTCAAAATCTCCACAAACTTACAGGTATTTCATGCACTGTCCTGTTTTGCTTTTGCTGGGTAACCTAAAAAAACCAACATTACGACTCATATACATGATTATTAAATGATTTTTATTAGGCAATAATATCTATATGCATACCAGGAATGCAATAGCTTGTTGTATGTGCTTGAGCTCATCCAAAAGACAACACAACAACTACAACAACAACACGAATCAATTGGGTCATATTTGTATTAAGAAAAAAGAAAATAGAATCATAAATTCATAAATCATAATGTAAAATTTTGTATTAAGAAAAAATCATGGTAAAGGAAGGATTTGAATTTACCACACTGTCTACTGAAACACCCAATATCTCTGTGTTTTTCTTGTCAAATTCTGCCTATCTATCACTGAATGCATTGATTTCTACATGATAAACACATAATTAAGAGAAAAATTGGATCAAATTATGTTTAAAAGTAATGTGAAAGTGAAAGTGAAACTCACCTGTTGGACAAACGAAAGTGAAATCAAGAGGGTAGAAAAAGAAAATGACATATTTCTTGATGGGTTTGAGCCAAAAGAACATCCTATGTGCTCATGCAAACCCTAATTCTTGGATCTAGGTTTCTCTAATTATACATTCATTTATCCAAGACTTTCAAACCCTAGATCTAATGAGTATAATTCGAAATTAATTAAACAAATTAGATCTAGATCATTACCTCTTGTTGCTTGCTTGAATCTTCTTGTCTTTGAAGCTTAGAGTCACAAGTGTCACTCATCTAATGGTTTACAAACACCAATAGCAAAAGAATGATCTTGGAGATAGGCTGGAGGCTCTTGAATTTGACTCTTGCACTCTTAGGAATAGGGTAGCCGAATTCTGGAGCCTAAGGGTCCTATTTATATTGAAGATGTTAGGGTTTCAGTCAAAACCCTAATGGACAACTTAGGCCTTAAGCTATCCAAGGAAGCTTTTGGAATGAGGCCATAGGGCCGAAATTATGGATGGACACATCCTAATTTCATCCATGCCTAGTCCAAGAGGCTCCTCAGCCCAATACTCAACTATCACACATTTGACAGTTGAAGTCCCTAATATTAAATTAATATCTTTTAGCCACAAAATTAATTCTTGTCTAATATTAATTTAATTGTGTGATTTCTCCATTAATATATTATTCATATAACATATTAATAAATCATAATAACCTCTTTCTTAATAAATCATCCTATCATGTTGCTTCGGTGAAGACAACCCAAAAGAACCATGCACAACCGGGTCAAGTACTTTACCAAATATAGTTACGGGCTTAGACACTAATCCAACATTTTTTTGCCAATGTAGTCAGAGAGCTTAACCTATAATTCATAAAGTTCTTACAAAGTTATGAAATCTGGGATTTTATGTATATATAATCATTATGTATATGTAATCATTATGAGTCGATTTAGTTACGTTGATGAATTCTTGCTCAAAAAAAAAGCTTCGGCTTCAAAATCTGGTGCAACATTTCCGACCAGTGGAAGGCCCTATAAACACTAAAATACATTCCATAATTCAAATCAAATCCATACCGAATACATCTACTTCCATAATCAACGAGAACATGATAATAAAATTTAGATATTGGTATAATGGTGTTGTACAACATAGTTTCAATTTTTTGAATGAACTAATGTCTAATGTTTGATCCTCACCACACAACTAAACAAAGTGAGGGATTCTGAGCTACTTACAACTTTGACGACGAATCCATTCCGATGGGAGGTGGAGGGACGGAGGGAAAAGGAGGAGTGAAGAGATTTAGATTGGAAACTGACTTCGATTGAGC